ATTCAGATGAAAACGAAGCAATTCAGGAGCATTCAGAAGTGCTTCGCCGGATTCAGAAGAAATTCAGATGAAAACGAAGCAATTCAGGAGCATTCAGAAGTGCTTCGCTGGATTCAGAAGAAATTCAGATGAAAACGAAGCAATTCAGGAGCATTCAGAAGTGCTTCGCCGGATTCAGAAGAAATTCAGAAAAAAGAAGCAAAACTGTCCGATTCATCAATGCTTTTTAGTAGCAATTCAGTAGCAAAAATTTACACCCGGGTATGGCTTATCTAATGATGGTAATGTAAAAACAACATAGCATTTTGGTATTTACATTTATGCGTTTCCGAAAAATCTGAATTGGGGAACATTTTGAATACGTCATTCGCATTAACAACTGCGGATAAAAATTATTCACCATAACCCATGATATTTCGTTGTAACTATTCGCTTTCAAGTCCAAATTTAATATCAGTGCTTTCTCAAGTATTGATTATTTCATTTGATAATGAGTGATTTTTAACATTCGAAATACCTAGACTTTTTATAATGAAAGCTAGTAGATCGTTACTGAATGATAACATTTCTAAAATCATTTCGAAATTGATGTTATTAAAAGTTAACCGTCCGATTCGAGTTAGGCCTATAATTTGATTCAATCATATTCAATGTGATCAGAACTAATCACAAAAACTTGTATTGAAAAGAACACCAAAAGTCGCTACTGAAGGAATTGAACTACGCATTTACATTGTAAGGGAGAATTCACTCATTTGCGTCCTTCTTTGCTTTTTAATCAACTTAATTGTTTTCATTTTTTTTAATTTGCAAATTTTTTAGTTTTACTAGAAAAAGATGAGACGTACATCCGCAATCATTCTCCTAGTTGCGGCTTATGTCGTTGATAGAAGTGTTCAAGGTGAACTTGTGCATATTTATATAAACAGTCACAAGCGTGAATGAGAGCAACGATATACAACATTGTGTCCTATATATTCCTCTCTTTCGTGCGCATGTAAATACGCATCACGTCGATGCTCATTGCTCATCGCTCACAGCACAATGCCGTCGCATCGCCTGTCGTTTAAGAACGCGTTGTTTTGAAATTCAAAAAATGGATCCGGTTATGTTATTATTGTAATTACGTGTATTTATAAATGCTATATCGAAGAAAATGATTTTTGGATTTTTTTTTTAATTTAAATATCTTAATTTTGGTTTATTTTTGGGGAAAAAAATCATCTATACAATAGATCTTAGAAATATTCCCGTGTGTATATTTGCTAATTATGTAAAAGCTTGGTGGACTGGAATAAAATAACAAAAAAACTAAATGACAGTAATGTCGTAATCGACCACCTAAAAATTATTCATTATATCAAAGAAAATGTGAATCAAATAAATTGCGTTGTGAATTGTGCAAGGAACAATACTCTCCATTCAAAGCACCGCGGTTTTTTTACACATAGTTCATCACCTGGTAATTTAGTCCCTAGCATTGTTTGTGCATTGTTTAAAGAGGTGAATAGTCATTTAACTCGCAATTGAAGTTGCATATTCGGGATTTTCATTGAACGTTGTGAAAGGTTTTTTCACAATTGAACTGATCGTTTGAAATAATTCCAGTCGATTTTTGCGGAATATCGTACAATACCGACACTGGTCATGATAATGACACGGTGAAAGTGATAATGTTTGGTTTGCATTCATTTGAAATGTTTCCAGCAAGATAGCATTTTAGATGATTCAGCATGAATAAATTAATTAATCAATGTTAGGAACAGTAAAAATCCCCGATTCCAACGTATATTAATAACTCAATGTTTTAGTTTAAAAATGTTGATGTTGGGAGTTTGGGACTTTTATGTTTTTAGCGTTGAATCAACGCCGTTGATCCAATATATGATTCATGTTGAATTTTTGATAATACACTAAAGTCTATAGTCTATAGAATATAGCAGAGAGCAAAATAAAAAAATTTCTGACTACCGAAATTTTTCGTTGAGTACCATTTTTTTCATAGTGTTTTATTAGATTTAATATTTGGTTTTTCGTACATCAAAATGTATATAAATTTCATCATTCATTGTAATGAATGTGAAATGAATTTAGGAAAATCAAGACAAATCATGAATTTAGAAATCAAAAATGCTGTTTCCATCGTTATTAGTTTCATCGTCGTCATCTTCTTCATCTTTGCATACTCGCGCTTCCGAGAAAACTCCCTTAAATACGAAACTATTGGTCAGGAAATCAGAAAGAGCAACCAAATTGTTTGTGCGGACATCAGCTACATTCATTCGCGCTCGACATTGGCGCGTCCTACATCCGAAAATTCCAAATTTGAGCTCAATTGATTTGAAGAAAACTTGGTCTTCATCCTCTTTATGCACCAATTTTGAAGATAAATTCCTTTCAAAACCCCCTGGACTTTGGTTATTTTTCATGTCATTCAAAGATCTTAGCATTGAGTCGATGTGCGATTTCATTGCGATTAGTGTCAATTCATCCGATTGGAGTTGCTTCTGAAGCCGACTGAAGATGAACATAAACAAATCAAAGTCTAGAGAACGCTGGAACCGAAAAAATGTATTTCGCAGAATTGATATGATGATTCAATTCTTACTTGTTCTCCAAAATATTAAAAATGTTTGTATTTATCAGCTGGTGAATGTGTTTTATTCTTCTTTCTCTTTCTCTCTCTTCGGATCTGATGTGAAAAATCGGTATTGTTTTTGTATTTGTCACATTCATTTGGACTACCGAAAATACAATTTTTGACTACCGAAATGAAATCTTAACTACCGGTTTTGTGCTTGAATCACGCTTATTTTACTCCCTGGAATATAGAAAAAGATTCCTTTATTTAATTTTATCTCATTTTTCTACAATATTCTGAAAATAAATAATATTCACCATATTTCTGAGATTATATTTAATTTTCATAGATTATTTTTGAACAAATTCAGAGGGGGTTTGGGCCTTGTGATTGTAACTCCTTCTATTCTGAGCATTTACGACGAAAAATGAACATAAATACTACTTCAATCATTAAATGTGATGTTGCTAAAAAAATCACAGCTGAACGTAAAAAGTTATTCCCCTGATTAAGAGTCTCAAGTATTCATCATTATTCAATGTTATTGATAACGGAATACTACGCTTATGTTATGATGTGTGCAAAATTTTTGATTTTTTTTTTTCACTCCAATTGATCGGTTAGATTTTATCATCAAATGCTTTTAAGCACTGTCGTACTGACTGGTTGTTGGTTTTTTTTTCTGCGTATAAAGTGAGATTGAAGCACTGAAAGATTGAAGATTTCTATTTTTGAAAAAATCCCCGTCTAAACAGCTGACCAACATTCGTCGATAAGAAATGTATGAATCGTTATTATATATATAATGGCAGAAGCCGATTCTTGAGTCAGTATACAAACTGAAGCCATGAAAATCGGTTGTGTATTAACATTGGCTGTGGCGGTGTTTTGCCAGAAAGTGTCTAGTGATGAGTTAGATTCCGTGAGTGCCATTCAGATTGTGTCACCTAAAGATCATGTGTTCAACTTGGAATTGGATGGGATAAAGAGTATTTTGGAGAATGATTCGATCAAAGATCGAAATGTTGTTGTTGTTTCTATCGCCGGTGCATTTCGTCAAGGAAAATCGTTCTTGTTGAACTTTTTCATAAAGTATTTGTACGCTCAGGTAAAACAGATTCAGATTTGGAATACAATTTTGATCTAAAAAAAATAAAAAAAACCTAAAACTCATTTTTCCTTCGTAAAAAATAGTACAAAAAGCATGACGTATCCGATTGGTTGGGTGAAGAAAACAACAGCAGTGGATTGACTGGGTTCAAGTGGCGCAGTGGACGGAAGCGTGAAACCACTGGAATCTGGATGTGGTCAGAGGTGTTCACCCATGATTTTTCGAACGGCGAAAAGGTTGCGATCATTCTACTGGACACACAAGGAATCTTTGATGATCAAAGTTCGGTCCGTGATTGTACAACGATTTTTGCCTTGAGTATGATGCTGTCATCGGTTCAGTGCTACAATGTCATGCAGAATATCAAAGAAGACGATTTGCAACATTTGGAGCTATTCACTGAGTATGGACGATTGGCACTGGAAGAATCGACTTTAAAACCGTTCCAGAAACTACTTTTCATCGTTCGAGACTGGCCGTACGCCTTTGAAACCGACTACGGTTGGCATGGCCAGAAGATAATTGATGAAATTATGACTGGAAATGAAGAGCAAACAAATGATATGCGCCAGTTACGCAGACGAATTGATTCGAGTTTCGATGATATTGGCGCATTTCTGATGCCCCATCCAGGATCAATCGTTGCTCGGGGAAACAGCTTCACCGGCAATATCCATCAAATTTCAGCCGAATTCAGAAAATATGTCAAAGAATTGGTGCGGGGAATATTCGCTCCGGACAAGCTCATTGTAAAGACAATGAATGGTGGAAAAGTACGCGTTCGTGATTTAATCCCATATTTGCAAGCATATTTGAACATTTTCAACGGTGATGCATTGCCCGAACCAAAAACCGTATTCATGGTATGTGTGTATTGATAAGTTTGTCAATTTGATCGATAATTTGACCAATTTTCATTTGTTTTGATAGGCCACTGCTGAGGCGAGTATGCAAATAATGCTCACCGACTGTGTAAATTATTACGTTGATACGATGCAGAAACTAATCAACGGAGTGACATCATATTTTAGCCAAATCGAACTCATAACGGCTCATCAGAAAACAAAAGGCGAAGCTATTGGACAGGTTGGTGTTCAGTAATACACAGTAAAAAATAAAAGTCCACATCTAGCCGTTTTTTCAGCTAAAAACGCATTCAGCCGATATTGCTGCTAGTAATTTGAGCTGCAGGCGAAATTCCGCTTATAATCTAGTCGGTTTTTCGTCTGAAACTCAATTTACTAGGCAAAATATAAGGCGCCCACTCTACCAGTCGAAATTCCGCCTAAGTGTGGACTTTTATTTTTTACTGTGTAGAGTAGTGTTTTAGATATTTTGGTAATATAAAATAATTCGTTCCAATTTCAATTCTCCAAAATAGTTCCAGTCAAAACCAAAACTAGGCGGCGATAGATTCGTGTCTTCCTTCCAAAAGAAAATTGAAGCTGAAATTGAAGAAAAATTCGTAGCTTTTAATCAAACCAACGAGGCAAAATATAAACATTTCGTGGTAAGTGTCGATTGGTTTTATTTAGACTATTCTGTGATCATTTTGCTTTGCTAATTCCTATCAATTTCTTTATTATTGTTTGTTTTTATTTAATCTCCAATTATTGAATTTAATCATTTCGCTACAGGAAATGGCCAATTTAAATAACGACAAAATCTGTGCTGAGATAAAAGCCACATTTGAGAATGAATTGGTCAATCAAATCGATAAGTCATCATTGAAATCTTCAGATGTGCACAATTTGCTCGCGAACTTGAAGCAATCTGCATTGCAAAGGGTAGGCCATTCTCATGTTATTCCCACTTTGTTATGATTTACTGTTAGGCCGTTATTTTTACTTCTCTGTAATTCATATGGATAGTTGTAGAATTTGACGAATTCAATCAATTGATTTTTGATTTATTTTACAGTTTGATTCAGAGAAAATGGGCGATGGAGATATATCCAATGGTTTCCGGGGAAAACTTACACAGAATTTGGACGGAATTCAATCGTCAATAATTAAAGCATCGGAGTCATATCATGAATGTTTGAATCATTATACGGATGCATCACAAAGATCACTTGCAAGCATCGACACATTTTTCAATCAAAATGATCTCATCAAAGCTCATCAAAATGCAAAGAAAGAGGCGAAAGACCAGGTTTGTTTTTCGGATCATTTCTTGGTTGGTCACTTTTTCTAACGTAGTTTCTTTTTGCAGTTTTCGGAGAGGACGACACTTGTGGATCTCAAATATACATCCACTCTTCAACATAGACTCGAAAATGAGATCGAAGCAAAATTGCCCGCTTTGGAACAATCAAATGAAGGAAAGCGACATGCATTTGTGGTATGTATAGCGATTTTAAGTCTGAAACATTTACTTAAGAGTTCAGTTTTTAGTTGGAAAAATGTCAAAGTATAAATTCTCACCCATTTATCTAATAATTCCAACTTTAGGAAAGAGCAAATGCACACAATGGCATCATCAGTGGAGAAATTGGCTCGAAATTCAATAATCAAGTATTGAATGGAATCGGAACGAATTATTTGAGCGACGACTCATTCTTCAGTTTGTTCATTAGTTCTAAACGCGCTGCATTGGACGAGTTTGCTACACGAAAAATGGGCGATGGAGACATTTCCAATGTTTTCCGTGAAAAATTGGAACGAGATTTGGATAATATGCAAGCTGCATTGAAACAAAGAAACGAAGCAAACAAACCGCCGCCACCCCCAAAGAAGAAGCGAAAGGGCTGGAAAAAAGTTGTGGGAGCTGTAGTGAATGCTGCAGCACATGTGGCTGGCGCTGCCATAGCTTCTGGAGTATAAGATATGAAGAACAATCAATGGTGGACAACCAATGGCACATATGCCATGAAAATTTAGCCTTGTGATACAGCTTAAGTTCACATTTTATTTAAGAAAGATAATTTATTTTGATTTTCTGAATGGTATAACGTTGGAAGAAAAAGTGTGTCAATAAAAACAAGAATAACAACATATTTGCTATGAATTTAATTTTCAAGTCTCTCCCCGAGTGAATGTGTGTAGAATTATATTTGGAACGGAATTCAGATTTAATCTCAATAGATCGAAATTGTCAATTGATTGGTATTTTTCTGTATCATAATTAAAAAAGTTTCAATTCGAAATGGTTGTCAATATGATTGATTGATACAATTGACATCTTCCGTCTGTATTATATTCAACGTTTGAAATTTTGAAGGCGATTCTTCTTTTAATAACAAGGTACTTCACGGCCACCGAAAAGTTCAATGGAAATTTTCTTATCGAAGACTCAAGACCATCTGTTCGAAATTTTCTGCGATTGTCGCTTAAAATCAATTTTCACTTTATTGAATCACGAACATAGTTTTGATTCTGTTTACAAATATCTACGATGAGGTCCATTGCATGGACAATTGGCATACCGATAATTCCCATGATTTTGTATTACGAAGTGTCAGCTGAAGAGCTGAATGCTGAACTCACCGAGAGCCGTTCGAATAGTAAGTCCGGTCAACCATACATTCCATTTGAAACTGGTGGAATTGAAGCCAATTTTAGAGAATGATAGTATCAAAGATTGACATGTTGTTGTTGTTTCCATTGCCGGTGCATTTCGTCAAGGTAAATCGCGTCCGGTGATTGTGCCCAATAAGAGCCTGTGTACAGAACTGTGTACAAGAGCCTGTTGCATAGCAGCACCGTACGTTGTTTGCTGTGTTCTGCCTTGTTTGTGTTTGCTCTACTATGCTTCAGATGACACAATAGAATCATTCAGTGCGCACGTACACAATAGTTCTGACACTTTGCCGTCGTTTGCAGTTGTGGCGTTAGTTATGCAACATCATTCTGACAAGCACCGTACGGTAAATCGTTTTTATTGAACTTTTTTGTCAAATATTCAAACGCTGAGGTAATAACTCAATTACATTTTTTGTAAATATCTGATGGCGACATTTTCATTTTGTCTTGTATCTTTCATTGAACAGTATAAAGTGAACAAAGGTGAAAACAGGAAGCATGGGTTCAATAGCCAGATGGGCGAGTTTTCTGTTTCTATTTGTATGTGTATTTCCTGCTGATGACCATGAATTTAATTTGTTTATATTCCTTAGCTGCGCATCGAAGTGAGAAGAACCTGCTTGTATATCGTGGATTGAGAGTTCATTTTATTCTTCGTCAATACATCATGAGAATGAAAGTTTTAGAGCAATTCGAGCTCAATCAGTTGTTTGCAATACTGGTAGAAATGGAATATTTGTTCAGCAGAAGAATGACTCAATGCACAATCTGATTTATTCTGCCGGCTTTAACAAGCATCTTCTTGAATTTACACAAAGTTTATCATGTATTTCTCAATACTCTTTGCAACATCAACGGGGGTTTCAACAAAAAAAAGACCAACTTGATTGATTCATATTCTTCTCAGAAGAATCTTCTGTCAGTCATACACGGCATTGCTGTAACGATCGTCTATAATATTTGCATGCGCTTGGGATCTGAATGTCAAATGATATTTAGAAATCAAATAAATTACGCAAAATAAAGAGAATAACTGTCGTCAATGTAAACGGTGAATCACATATGATTGAATAAGGTCAACGGTTGATGACGATAAGCATTCGATTATGAACCGGTTTTAGACCGTTTTATTTAGCGAAACATATGAATGATTCATCCAAACAACTTCACTGTGACCCGCTGTCATGCTAGACAAGCTAACAAACAGAGCTACGAACTGAGTGAGTCATATGTACAGTAATTATCAATGCTCGAAGAATGAAGAAGTATTAATAAGATTCATTTTAAAGAGGCGAGCATTCAGTTATCTATTGAACATTTGAAAAGAAAGTAACGAATAAAGAAAATTGTAAAGTTTGTATTTTATTTTTTGTTGTTCTATTTCATTTTGATATGATTTTTATCATGAAAATGCTTGCAACATTGATTTATTTGCCTGTCAAAAATCTGTTCAAGTATTGAGAACTGATTGCGGGGAAGTCCTATAGCCACAATGTGAAGTACATGCTTCTGATAAGGAATCTCTATAAATAACATCAACACACAATTTTTGGGTCAGTTTACATGTTGCTGCCATGAAGATCGTTTGTGTATTATTAGTAGCTGTGGTGATTTTTTGCCAGAAGGCATCCGGTGAGGAGCTAGACGCAGGTCAAGCAATTCAAATTATCACACCGAAGGATCATGTGTTCAACTTGGAATTGGACGGAATAAAGAGTATTTTGGAGAATGATTCGATCACAGATCGAAATGTGGTTGTGGTTTCGATTGCTGGCGCTTTTCGTCAAGGAAAAAGTTTTTTGTTGAACTTTTTCATAAAGTATTTGTACGCTCAGGTAAAATTGAGATTTGGAATACAATTTTGATCCAAAAAAGATAAAAAAAAACCTAAAACTGATTTTTTTTTCTTCTCAATAACAGTACAAAAAGCATGATGTAACCGATTGGATTGGTGAAAAAGAGAATAGTAATGGACTGGAAGGGTTCAAATGGCGCAGTGGTCGGAAGCGTGAAACCACTGGAATTTGGATATGGTCAGAGGTGTTCACCCATGATTATTCGAACGGCGAAAAGGTTGCGATCATTTTACTGGACACACAAGGAATTTTCGATGATCAAAGCACGGTCCGTGATTGCACGACGATTTTTGCCTTGAGTATGATGCTCTCATCGGTTCAGTGCTACAATTTGATGCAGAATATCAAAGAAGATGATTTGCAACATTTGGAGCTATTCACTGAATATGGACGCTTGGCACTGGAAGACTCGACTTCAAAACCGTTCCAGAAACTACTTTTCATCGTTCGAGACTGGCCGTACGCCTTTGAAACCGACTACGGTTGGCATGGCCAGAAGATAATTGATGAAATCATGGCTGGAAATGGTGAACAATCAAACGACATGCGACAGTTACGCAGACGAATTGATTCGAGTTTCGATGATATTGGCGCATTCTTGATGCCATATCCAGGATCAATTGTTGCACGCGGAAACAATTTCACCGGTGATGTAAAGCAAATTTCGCCGGATTTCCGAAAATATGTCAAAGAATTGATGCGGGGAATATTCGCTCCAAACAAGCTCATTGTTAAGAAAATAAACGGGGAGAAGGTACGCGTTCGTGATGTGATCCCATATTTGCAAGCATATTTGAACATTTTCAACGGTGACGATTTGCCCGAACCAAAAACCGTATTCTTGGTATGTGTGAAATGATAATGATTTTGTCTGTTTAATCGATAACTTGACCAATTTTCATTTTTTTGATAGGCCACCGCTGAGGCGAGTATGCAAATATTACTCACCGACTGCGTCCATTATTACGTTGAGACGATGCAGAAACTAATCAATGAAGCGGCTTCTTATTTCAGCTACAGTGATCTCGTAACCACTCATCAAAACACAAAAAGCGAAGCGATTGCACAGGTTAGTGTTTCAAACATTTTTGATTTTCAATCAAATGAATCAATATCTTCAATTTCCCACTTTTGAAAATAGTTCCAGTCAAAACCGAAACTTGGCGGCGATAGATTTGCATCTTCTTTCCAGAAGAAAATTGAAGCTGAAATCGATGACAAATTCGTTGCATTTAACGAAACGAATGAAGCGAAATACACAAATTTTGTGGTAAATGTTACATTTCCATTGCCTTGAGCTTGTGACTTTTTTCTGCCTATTGTGCTTATAAATTAATTCGATGCTCTGATTGCAGGAAAAAGCCCGTTTGCATAATGACAAAATCTGCGGCGGAATAAAAGATACGTGCCAAAGGAAATTAATTGGTGAAATCGAAAATCTGCCATTCCCGTTGAAACTCTCGGATATGAATGCTTTGTTTTCAAATTTGAAGCAATCCGCTTTGGAAGAGGTACATCATTCGCGACTTATTATCGAACTTGCCTCATGAATTTTGCATTTGAAACATAATTTTCATCGTTTTTCTGCAGTTCAATTCAAAGAAAATGGGTGATGATCAAGTGTCCAGTGAATTTCGTGAAAAACTCCAACAAGACTTGGAGGGAATTCAGTCGGCTCTTGTAACAGTATCGGAATCATTTAATGAATGCTTGAAGTACTATAGTGATACCCTTCATAAATCGGTTGATGGTGACTCATACCAAAGTCAAAATGATCTAATTAAACTTCATCAAAATACCAAGAACGAAGCAAGAGCACAGGTATGACTCTAAATTCTTTTCTTTTGTCAAACTCTCTTTTCATTTTGATCAATTTTCTCCATAGTTTGAAGGGAATACCAAACATTTAAACGATAAATTTGCCGGCCTGACATCGACTTTCCATCGTAGAATCGAAAATGAAATCGAAGGAAAGCTACCAGCCCTCGAGCAATCGAATGCAGACAAGCAGAATGCTTTTGTCGTATGTATCAAAATCGATTTAAATTTTTTTCCAATTTTTAGTCTCCATAGACTAAACGATCTCTGTTTATTTCAGGAAAAAGCGAAAGCACACAACGAAATCATCGTTGGAGAAATCAAGGCCAAATTCGAGAATCGAGTGCTCACTTCAATCGGTGGAAATTATTTAAATGACGATTCGTTCATCAATTTGTTCATGACTTCGAAATTGTCCGCTTTGGATGAGTTTGCCTCACGAAAGTTGGGTGACGGAGATATTTCAAACAACTATCGAGAGCGATTGGAACGAGACATGGATAGTATGCAAGCTTCGTTAAAACAAGCAAATGAAGCAAATAAACCGACACAGCCACCACAACAAGAAACTGGAGGAGGAAAAGACTCAATTGGTCTTGCAATCATAGATCTAATAGGAAAAATAGCAACAGCCGCCATTGCCAAAAGCGGTTCTTAATGTGGACAAAATTGTACATAAGCAAAAATATTATTTTATTTGGATCGTAATAAATACATGAAAACAAAATAAACAGAAATTATTTAGTTTCCTCTATGAATATAAAAGAAAAGAAAGCTAGCAAATGGTAGTTCTATGTCATAAATTCAATTAAATTTTTAAGCAACATTTAGAAAATAATATTTGTAAAATATTTGAATTAATATGAATGTACTTGAAAATGCGAATTAAACATAAATATTTCCTTGAAATCAAAACACACGCTGTTATTACCATTTTTATCAAATCACAGCTAACATTCAATCTCAAAACCATCAAGTTCGTACAATGACTGCTTTTCTATCTCGTCAATGTGCTCCATATCATTAATGCCTTAAGCCATTTGTGCCCATTCAAAGAAATATTATAAAAATATTTTGACAATCATAGCGAAAGTTGTTGAAATGGTACATTAACCTAATCTCCGCAGGAATTTTTTTACGATTTTTTTCCGGTGAAACCTGACAGAGGGACATAAAATACGTAAATATAAATCCAATTTTTGTTGAATATGTACAAATTATTTTCAAACGTTGATATCTCTAGAAAAATCTATCGAAATTCTATTTTTCAATATAAGAAATTAAAGCTGATCATCACCAAGAAAGTTTTTAAAGTCGGTAGTTTTTGGCGTGAATTTTGCGCACTTTTCTCACTGATGCCATATAATATCATCGCGTCGAATGGGTTAACCCATTAACTACCAGTGGTCGATTTTTCGACCAGTGACTTTCGATATTTTTCTCAGGGTCTATCTCCCTCCCCAGATGGGGAATTTTATTAATTTTTTTTAAAAATAAAGTTTGAAATTCACACTTCCCAATAAGAATATTACAAAATCAATAAAAACGTTTCAAATTGGTCGGATCGATCATCGAATGAAACCAGAAAAGCTCTCTGAAATCGCCAATGTTACTTTTGGCTAAAACGTCAATGTCATTAGCAAGATTGACATTCTACTGACTTAAAAGCATTGAAATGTCAATTGCTTTGACGTTCTAGGCACAAATTTCCGAGAGTCTTTGGAAAAAAAATCCCCTAAGAAATTCTACAAATTTGTACTGAATTTTCAATTTTTCTATCGCTGTTAAAGATAAATGGGACTCATATCTCACGATTTGCGAAGTCTACTGTTATTTTTAGACCAAAATTGATAGTATTTGAAAGTATCGCAATTTGAAAACAAAATAAGAATCCTGGTAATTAATTAGTAGCTGGGTTAGTAGCTATTATTGCTAGCGTTGTTAATAAATCAACATATCAAAAAGCACAAACAAGTGCATTAATACGATCGTGTAAGTTAAAATAATCGGTGCAGACAATGGCAACAGCTGTTCATTTCAATGTATATAATCGTGTTTTATGTTATATTTGAAAACAACGTAGAAAAAGTAATCACAACTGTATAAATAACAACAATAAAAATCTTAGCGTAAAATCTCTGCATGTCGTATTAAAACCTTCGATTAGAAACCACAAAAAATAATCTGTTTCAATCTAAACACGTCGGTACTTTCCCCAATTTCAGCTCAGTCGATTCATTCGTTTAGAATGAGTTGAAAGAAAAATGCGCGAAAACTAATCAGCGATCGTCGCACAAAGTGATTGATTCGTCTGACGTCATTAAATTAGAATTGCTGTTTAAGTATTTTTCCATGTCCAAGTTTTTAGTCGACAAAAATATGAAACGAAGTATTTGAATTGATGTGTTGAGCATTGATAAACGAGGAAACAGTTCCGAGATTAAATGAAATTGAAAGAAAAAAACGCTTCAACTGTTCAAGTGATACCGAAAAATCCCCTTATCATAGCATCCAATGCAAAATACCCTGTCCGCTCCAATCATCATCGTAGACTAATCTTTCAGGGAATTTTAAATAGAATTTTGGAAATTTTGAACCACACTGGGTCTGCGATAAAGACAAGCATCGACTATAAATAATCAGTAGCGATCGGTTTTCATTCAGTTTACGAACAACCACGATGAGGATCGTTTCGTGGGCAATTGGCTTACCGTTAATTCTCGGTGTTTTGCATTACAAAGTATCGGCTGAAGAGCTGAACTCACCACGAGCCGTTCGAATAGTAAATCCAGTGAACCATACATTCCATTTGGAAGTGGATGATTTAAAGCCAATTTTGGAAAATGATAATATCAAAGATCGACATGTTGTTGTTGTTTCCATTGCCGGTGCATTTCGTCAAGGCAAATCGTTTCTGCTGAACTTTTTCGTCAAGTACTTAAATGCTCAGGTAAATAGTTCATTTGAATAAAGAGAGAATAGTTGGAAGAACCCGAAATGAAAGTAACAAAACAATCTCATTCATGAACTAAATTGTCTTTATTAAACAGTATAAACGTCACGATGTATCCGATTGGATTGGCGAGAAAGAGAGTAGCAGTGCAGTGAATGGATTTAAATTCCGAGGCGGTCGCAAACCTGAAACGATTGGTATTTGGTTATGGTCGGAGATATTCACCCATGACTACCCAAATGGAGAAAAAGTAGCAATTATTCTGGTGGACACACAAGGGATCTTCGACAGCAAAAGTAGCATACACGATTGCACGACTATTTTTGCCTTAAGCATGATGTTATCATCAGTTCAATGCTACAATATCATGCAAAATATTCGAGAGGATGACGTTCAGCATTTGGAGCTATTTACGGAATATGGGCGACTGGCTCTTGAACATTCCAATGAAAAACCATTCCAAAAGTTGTTATTCATTGTGCGCGATTGGCCGTATGCATTCGAAACACCCTATGGTTGGGATGGTCACAAAGTGATTGACGATTTTCTACTCGAAAATGAAGATCAAACACCAGAGATGCGCATGCTGAGAGCACGCATCAAGACCAGCTTCGAGAAAATCCAGGCATATTTAATGCCTCATCCAGGTTTTACCGTAACGCAAGGAAGCAATTTTACCGGAAATTTGGCAGAAATTTCGCCCGAATTCATAAAATATGTCAAGGAATTGGTACCAGCACTTTTCGCACCAGAGAATCTCATCGTTAAACGGATCAATGGGGAGAAAGTTCGAGCTCGCGATTTAATTCAGTACTTAAAAAGTTATACACAAATTTTCAATGGAGACACACTACCCGAACCAAAAACGGTGCTCATGGTATGTTCTGAAAATATTTGATGCTTGAATTACGAAATGATTAACGATCATTTTTATAGGCTACCGCTGAAGCAAACTATCAAATTGTTTACACCGATTGTTTAAATCGGTACATCGATTCAATGCAACATTCGCTCAATGCAGTCGAATCATATCTGAGTGAAGAAGCGCTTATGCAACTACATAATCGTGTTCAAAATGAATCATTAGCACAGGTACGATGCATAGAATTAGTTGTTTGAATTTTTATTCAAAAAAGAAGTTTTTTCATTTAAACTTTTTCCATTCAAAACAGTTTGCTTCGAAGCCAAAACTTGGTGGCGATGAACTGGCTACAAAATTCATGAAGAGAATCGAAAGCAGCACACAGGAAAAGTTCGTTGCATTTAAGGCAGAAAATGAGAGGAAACGTCAAGATTTCATTGTGAGTTGAACATTTCATTGTGGTTTATGACCCGAAAATGATCAATTTAATCATTTAACTTGAATTCTCTCTAAAAAAAACACAGCAAAAAGCCAACATACACAATGCGAAAATAATTGGTGAAATTTTCGAGGCGGCCAAGAAAAAAGTGCAAAGTGCAACGGAAAATTCAGGCCCAGATTTGAAAATCACTGATTTGAGTAATGGTTTTAATGCAGCGAAACAAGTCGCTTTGGAAGAGGTTAGTTCATTTACAACATAATACGATTTTCTTGCAATATTGATTTAACTTGACCAATTTGATTCCTTTTCCCATCAGTTTGACCGAACTAAAATGGGTGAAGCTGATATTTCCAATAGTTTCCGTGTGGGACTTTCACAAAATTTGGATAATTTCAATGCGGCGTTGGCAAAGACGTTGGAAAACTTCAATGAACGTCTGAATCATTATACAAATTCCATGCAGAGTTCACTTGATCAGGTTGAATATTACCACCAGGCTGATTTTGTAAACCTTCACCAACGAGTTAAAAGTGAAGCAATATCTCAGGTGTGCTACTAAGCCAAAAGAAATCGACCTGTTTTGAGAACGTAATTAAAATTTATTCTATTTTAAAACCAGTTTATTCAGACCTCCCAACTGGATGGAGAGATGAAATTCACTATTCAACACAAACTTGATCAAAATCTCGAGGGGAAAATCCGAATTTTTGAAGAGAGAAATGCCGCTAAATATGCCAACTTTGTTGTAAGTTTTGAAACTCAAGCATCAACGCTTTGTGGGAAGTGTTTGAATAATTACGATTTTATTTGTAATATTTCCACAAATGTAGCAACGAGCAAACGTGCACAATGATAACGTCTGCCGGGAGGTAAGAGCATCATTTGAAGTCAAAGTGCGAAATGGAATCGGACCCAATTATTTGAATGACAATGATTTCATTAATCTGTTCATGGGATCGAAACAAAGTTCATTGGATGAGGTAATAATGGTTTAAATTTTACAACAAAATTTCACTAAATTGAGTATCAAATACTTGTTAAACTGAAGTGTTTGAAAAATTACAATCCAAATCTAAATTCATTGTAATTTTCCAGTTCAACGCAAGAAAAATGGGAAACACAGGTGACATTTTTAATCCGTTCCGCGAACGACTCGAACGGGAAATAGATAGTTTGCAAGCAACTCTAAAACAAGTCAACGAAGTGAATAAACCCAAACCAAAGAAGAAGAAGCGCAAGTGGTGGAAGCTTGGATAAATAGACGAATATTCGAACCAATTTTTATATAACTTATTTATTACACGTTAAAAAAAGAGATCCCAATCCAACTCATTGGAAAAATATTGAATAAACAAACAAACAAATATCCGAAAAATGCTTATTTTATATGGAGGATTATTTTCATAGATATCGATTTGAGAACTTGTTAGTAGTTTTAGAACTTAAATTCAAACGATTGAAGAGTAAACTATTTCGAACCTCAAAATAACATTTAAATGGAACCTTCCAAATTATCTGCTGTCAAACTTTATCTCTCTCACACTAACTGTCACACAAACTCGCTAGAATAAAAGAGATATTGTTCGCAGTGGACTAGTGATGAGACTTTATGAGTGGCTAGCGATCGGAAAGAGTTGAACAAAAGCATAAAGTCGCTAAAAATGTTTTCTATCCAAATTAATTGTTTCTACATCCACAATTATGGCGTTCGACTCTGAGTGTCGAAACAATTGTTTTGAATAAAAAACATTTTAAGCGACTATAAGGTTATTTTAAAACCCTTCGATTAGATTTAGTCGCTTAGCACCCCAAAACTGCCCTTTTGAGTGACTAGCGTTTTCAAAAGTCAACCATTTTTGGACATTTCAACATATTTGGTACGTACATTGATTGCATTTGTTCAAAGTTGTTTGCAATCGATTGGAATTTTAATCTCAATACGTACAAAAATTCGATCAAAATGTCTCAAAATAGACGGCTCTACTAGTTAGTCATAAGTTTCATTTTCATAAGTCTTCGAAAAAAGATTGCATTTTGATTGAGAATAACAATTAATCATCATAAGCGCATCAATTCGTTGTCTCGTATGTTTATTTTTCGTCCATATCATAGATGAACTCAGTCTACGATCCCCTCGAAATATCCCAAAGTAAATTATGGTGAAATGGATAATAAATGTTGTTTAAAAAACGCACGCAATAAAAAATATGAGCCCTTGCTCCGATTCAAGCTTGTAACCGAATGAATAATTGGACGAAATCACTTTCGTTTCGGACTTGTGTGCTTGCACAGTGTGCAATCTCCCGCAGCTGATAACAAATGATTGGATTTTTTCTGACACTTTTTTCGATACGATTTCTATTATGTGTTCACTATTATTCCCGTGGTGCTAATCCAAGAGAACATGTTTTTTGTTTAGCATCAAAATCAAAACAATATACGGATAGCACTTTTTTAACACTCACAAAAACATATGCGACAAATAACAAAGGGGAGGAAAACAATTGAGCACCATATGCAGTGATTGTAATTATGCGCGACGCACCCTTCTGCCATTCGGCATCCGATCTGTTTAATAGTTTGATTAACTTCTGTAATTGGTTAGATGACCCAATTGTTCATCACATTGAACACTTTCCATTTTTTCATCAGGCTTTATATCTTGTGAAAATTGAATAGATTCCTTGATAAATAATGGCCCGAATTTTTTAAATTTGTGTTTCGATTTCGAACATTTTTTTTTAAATTGTAGTTTTAATATTTAGTTGCATCCATTCTCTGTCCAGTTGTTTCCTTTATTGACCAGTGTTCGAATCAACTATCTATAGAAACTAGTTCATTTTTAATTTATGTCATCGTTCAAACATTATAACACAACTGAAATGGTTTAGTGTCCAATATTTGTACCAAATACAGATATCTAAACAAATAAAATTGGTTCGAGACGGAATGAATAGAGCCACTGTAAGATTTATGGCTGTGATTCCATGTGTTTTACGCGTAACAATAATGTGGTCAATAGTCCATTGGCCAAATTGATGGTCCATTGTAATGCCGTGAAAATGGACAATACACGATTGGAACTGTTTTTACACCCGCACGCACCAAAACAAGTCGCAAAGGAAACAAATCAAAATAAAGTGTGTGCGACAGCACAACACCGTTTCCCGTTTGTGGCACTTAAAGCGAATGACAATTGGCAATAAATATAAATTAATCGCAAAATTTCCGTTCAAATGAAAACGGATTTTTGGCTGGCAAACAGTGCGCCTACACCATAGTGCATTATTATTGGTTCACAGGAAATTAATAGCCCTGATTGCAACCAAATTGGTCGGATGCATGTATGTGGTTGCCACTGCGCCGATAAAAACGAGCCCAATTGCATATGCCAGATAACAGATGTGATGGCATTTCAATCAATTGGTATTTGTTCCATGTGATCTGAATGCCAGGATTCACTTTTTGCAAAGTTAAATTGGGGTGTTTTAAATTTATTGTTTGAATTGTATCGCAAAACAGTTGATATATACTTAAATGGCCACATTTGGATGTCTGGCATGTTTCATGAAATATTGCAAAAAAATTACAACAAGTATAAAGTGTCGGCTTCATTCAAACCCAAATTTATTCCATTACATATAATATTTTCTGCATAAATATTTGAACCAAGATGAATTTAGTAATTTAAAGCGATTTGCGAAATTTAAATACATTTTCTCAGCTTTCATGACATCATGACAAACATCCTTGAAAGCAGGAATACAACGCATTTATGCATTGAATGTACATTGAATGTACATTGTACACATATTGAGGGCTGTTTTTTACGATAGTGTCACAAAAATGTTTTTATGATTATATGATGTTCGCACTGCGTGTACGAACGGAAAATCGTTCGTTTCTTTCCTAGCCTCACTAAGTCATTAGTCTTTCAACGTTTACCAACATCGATTATATGCCGTGTTTCATGTGCTCGTTGTTCATGTTTTTTTTTTCAAACAAAGAATTTTCATTTCGAAGAACGAATTTGAAATATTCTCGACAGAATACAGACAAATTGCAATTCTTGTTCAAAACCTGAAATTCTATGCCATTTCCATAGAGAAATCATAAAATACTAAACGATATTTTATTAGTTTATTATGGGCTCAAATAAGTCTCTGAATCGTTTCCATATTCGCTTTGTTTGCGATGGCCTTTGTCTTCGACAGCTTAAAGTCAATTAGTGTGTTTGAAAAAATAAATTCATATTTTTTTGAACTTTGTGCATAATCAACGATCATGTCGTTGTCGTTTTTAATGACTGAATGGTATGTGCACGAAATATTTTTCTGAGAGTATTTTCCGTCGATTTCTATTGGTAAGCAGAGCATTCATATATAGGTGTTCATTCCATGATTTTGGATATTTCAGAATAGCGTACATTTCATCAACCTTACGAATATTCGGAAACGCACGTTTCGTGTTTTCATGAATTTATAATGAAGAGCAAATCATGTGCATCAAAACTAATCATTTTTAAAATAATAACGTTTCTGATATAATATTAAGAGGAAATTGACTGTCTTTTCTAACAGAAAAACTGTTCATTCAACAAAGTTGTATGCTAAACAACTCGTTCTGTCAGTAAATCAGGAATCTGTTGAAAATTTCACCGATCTCAACAAATTTATTAAAACAAAAAATGGCTCTAAGTTTTGAATTCATCAACAGTGTGGAGATTCTCAACTGGAGAACAAAATTCTAAATAATATTATTCAAAACTTATGAGGTGGCCACAAAAATACGCTCAACTGGTTTGGCACGATATCAAAAGCATAATTTGTGTTCTTCCTTTGAATAATCCGACTTTTTACGATTTAACTAACAACTTAACTACAACTAACATGCTACTTTTTCACCTAGCTGCACTAATAAAGAAGAAAATCATCTTGGTTGAAGCGTTCACTTCGTTAAGATATTTTATTCATAATAACGACTGCACCAAAAATGCAACATAATACATGTCATATATGAATTAAGTTTTCTATTGCGATGATCAGATATGTATCATCACATATTTATGCATGGGTTAGTATTTTCGCTGCAATAATGAGACGAAATAAACATATGTATATGTTTTCTTATATAAATTCTTTCGTTACTTTTCTTCCGTGAAACCAGCACTGATTTCGTGCTACCGCGCGCTTCCTTCACTTTGTAGCTCCAGTACAATTGCAATCATTTCGATTGTATATGGAAATAAGATTGAAACCCAACGAGAAATTTAGAAACAACACGTTGTTGGGCTTCTACACATTGCATACGACAATTTGAATGATGACTATGTAGTCATTAACCTTTTTTGGATGGCTCTTTTGAATCTCAACTCTTTTCAACTTTTCCTTAATGCGTTCCAATCGGGAATTTTCAAATTGTAAGAAATACAAATCAAAGGCAGAACTAAAGACGCTCATAACAGAAAAAACTGATCATTTTTTGTAGTTCTATTTTGTCCCTGCGATTAAAAGTCTGATTTCAATTTAATTTCCCCAAGCTTTTTTTCCCGCAAAATGGATAATCGATCATTGGTTAGGGGAAAAAAGCGTGTCCAATAAATTGACTTTTCTGCAAATAAGAACATTCCATCACAAGACAGATTACAGATAACTAAAATGCAATGGTATCTTTGAATAAAAAAACTCTTTGAAATTTTGTTGCGTTTTTTACATGAGCAATACCATTTGTTTGACCAAAAAAAACTGTACGAAGTTCAACATTCGTTCTCTAACTATTCCATTTGAAAATGAAACAATGATCTACAGCTATGTAATTATGGCCACTTCATAATCTTCAGAATAGCAATGATTATTTTGCAGTAATTTCTGCAAATAACACAAGTTCATTGCATATCAGTAGAAAACTGTAAACTGTTTTGTCTTTTTCATCGATTTAGCAAAAGCACCGTTTTACGATTCCGAAAAAAAGGTTTGAAAAGCCAATGAACGAACAATAAATTTCTGCATTTCGCAACAAAAAAAACAACGCATTTTATTTGCAAAGAAATTATCGAGAATTATGGTATAAAAATGAAACGAATTTTCACTCAGCCAAAAGTGTGCGCGTCCGTATGCAAACTGAGGACACTAAAAATATTCAATATGGCCGCTTCCATTGTGCACGATTGTGTGTACGATAGTGTGAAGAAGAAGAAGTAGTAGACAAAAAGTGTATTGGTTTTCATACGGATGAGTGTGCGTCTGTGCATGATGCGAAGAAAGGAGCCATGCAAAAAGCGATGCAAGAGTGCGTGTGTGTTGCGATGCTTCTATGGAAAAACGGAGGTGAATGGCGTGAAATAAAATCATAAACGTATAAATTTCGTTCATTATT